CTAAAAGCTGATTTTTTTATTACCATCTTTTAGAAGTTTCTCTTTAGATTCCACCACTCAAGGCTTCTTATTGCCTTTTCTTTCTTATATATCACCAATTGGGTTGCTTAATTCTATGGAATTTTTTAGGTGATATTTAGTAAACTGATAAATAAATTAACTGACTGTTAGCTAATAAATTAATTGGTAGTTGATAAATTAGTTAATGAACTAATTAAGTTTAAAATAAAACATTTATTATAACTAGGTTTGCAACCATCATGCATAAAATGCATCATTTTATCATAAAATATAATCAAAAATATATTGAAAATGAAATCTAAGATATATATTAAGAAAAAAAAAATGCTAATTTAACAATACTATTCAACGAGAAAATATCTCGATTTCAATGTTTTATTTTATTTTTTTATCTCTGCCGATGTTATAATACGAATTTATATAGTTTTGAGCAAAAAATAATGTTTAACTTAAATACAAATTTGAGGATATCATAAAAATTCAAAAATATATAAAAGTTCTTTTTTTTTTTTGTGTAATTTTTTTAATTCAATCTTTTATTATAATTTCATTTAGGTTTAATGACGAAATAATTTATTTTTCATTTAATAATATAATTTTTATGAAGATAATAACTAATTATTTTGTTAGAACTCAATAATTATTCTAATTATATTTTAGATTTTATATTTAAAATAAGAATTTTATCTTGTATTTAATTATATTTATCTATAGTTAGTTACACGAATTCAAACATGAAGCTTAATAAGTTGTACCTACGTACAATTTACTCGTAATCTTGAATTTTAAGTAATATGCATCAATAAACAGTATTTCATGTATAAAAGATGTTTTTCAAGAGTTTTTGTCAAATACCTTATAATATAGTATAAATGATAAAAAATAGTTATATATCAACTAGAAGCGTATTCGCGCAATGTAGCGAGATACATCGTGATTTTAATATTTCATTTTATTCTTTATTTCATTCGATGTTATAATATGGCTTTWTGTGAWTTTGAAAAAGCGATGATGTTTTTATTTTTGAATAAAATATATGTTTGAAGATATCATAAAAATTTGACAAAAATATATCGATATTATTATCAAATTAACTATTTGAAATTCCTCAATAATT